CCTCGTTATAATGCGGAGGCGCACGCGCCCGCCGCCAGTGTTTAGCGAAGGTATGCTACGGAGTAACTTAGTCCCAAACCAAAAAAAAATGCCTCTGTTTATAATTTGCGGCAAAAGGCCGCCGCCCCATTTATAACCGCGCAATATTGACTCCATACGGGCCCGCATTATAAACAGAGCCATTTTTTGTTCTGGGATTTACATTGTTTTGTGATTTGTTATTTTATGCAAAAGTAATTTCTGGATAGCCCTGCTGTAATAAACATACTAGAAATTACCACTTGTTCTTGCTTAAGTTATTCTTGTGAGGTCACTCAAAAAGGTGAGGAGGTTGTAGAACACGCATGCGCAGATGTGGGTTGGCACATGATGTTTGTGTTTGGATAAACACAATATACACAAACATATCCAACCCAAAAACCTACATTCTCCCACAATCTCATATAGATCTCTATTATGAGCTTGTGACGAGTATTAATACGCATACACAGATTTCACGTGTAATACACTTTACTACAACAATGGCAGCAGCAGTGCTGCGCAGACAGCTTACGTAGGTGTTATTCGGCTTTGGCGTCAGTGTGGACGTAGACAATTCAGACGTCACCGTTATCGGAGGACCTGAAAACGACACGGAGAGATCATCACATCATGATTAACTTCGCTATAGTCTAAAAGTCGAACATACGTTATCTATATGACTGGGTTCTTCGCATAGATGTTTCTTACTTTGCAGAGTACAACACAATTAACTTCGCTATAGTATAAGATCTAAACATACATGATTGGAAATAGCTTTCTGAAAACCCCTGAACGCTCGGGCAATAGCGAAAAGGTTCCCGCATTAAGGTTTATCAGAAAAGGGTCGATTATCCTGGTAGCAAGGGTAGGATCAAGGATAGTTTGAGACCCCCCGCAATGTGTGCAATTCACACATGTGCTAAACTAATCTGGCGTGCTAAACTATAGGCTTGGGCCGCAAGAGTCTATCCGAGTGATACTCACCTGCTAGACCAATGAAGAGACAGAGCGCGAAGCTGGCAAAGAAGACGAGAAATACGACGAAGAACTGACGCTTGCTGAGCGCGTAGAGTCGCATCTGCACCGACCTGCGTGAGGGGGATGACAACGCCGATCGAACATAAATTGTCGGATTATGAATATTACGCTCCGGGCGGGAAGCTACACGTAACACGGCACAACACAGATGATGATCATTGATGACTATCGAGCAACTGATCTGAATTAATTGATAGAGGCCTAACTGGCCTGCATTCAGTATTACCTAAGTCTTAACAATTTACAGAAAAACTAATATTTTCGCGCTTCATAAACATGGCCTTTGCTCTAAACGATTACTAGAGGGTAAAACTGGCACAATCCTGGTTTGGAACTCCGGCCTATGTATATTACAGATGCTGTATCACAATACATGCGTCTAAACAGAGGAATTGCTCCGACCTGTGATTGGAGGATAAAAATACGCTGTGGCCATATGCCCGGCAGCCGGGCACGGTCTTCGATTTCCTAAATGCCCGGCAGTTCCTAACCCTAACCCTTGTTTACTTGAGATAACGCTGAAAATGAAAACTGCCGGGCCATTTTAGGAAAATGCGAAGACCGTGCCCAGCAGCCGTCAGCATATATGCCGGCTGCGGCCATATAGCCACTCTGATAAAAAACATGAGCCCGCCCCACTCCCAGCCGCATAATCATTAATATTTGCTAATGACCGGTATGTAACGTTACTAACTATCAATGTATCATATGAGCGAACAATTTCAAGTACATTTCTATAAATTCTAAGCTGTTATAGGACACCATGTCTTAGCCTTAATCCTATGATTTTGAGTCTATTGACTATTTGTATTAGAGACTTGAAGCCCAAATTAGTCTAATAAATTTGCCAAATATGCACGGCGGTATCGGCTCATAGCTATACACGCGCGGCTATGACAGGCGAAACGAAACTGTCACGAATTCTATTTTTTATCCTCCAAATCCACAGTCGGAGGCAATTGCGCTCCTCTGTTGTAGACGCATGTATCATTGATTGATGTATGATTGCATGACTATAAAGCCGTCAGAGTAGCTATCACCCTGCGTAGTTGTGGTAGTGGTGCGTGAACTGGTGTCAATAAGATGGGCCAAGAGGCGTAGCTGCTGCTAAATAGTTCCAGTTCTATACAGCGTCAAACAGAAAACGCGAAGCGCCACGAGTTGTCCGCTAAAAATGCGCATTCCCGATCTCGCAGCGTGATACTTGTATTAGCCAGATGTGGGACTCATCATTACATTTGATTTTTTCAAATGATATCGCGATGAACTGTTCAATAAACACATGGAATGTAAAAGCACAAACAGGAGCGAGAGCTTTCGCTTGTTTGTGTTGTATGACAAGATGCAGAACACCTTTCACATAAGGTGGCGCTGTCGATGCAACAATCTTCACGCATATATATTCGCGACCAAACTGAACAGCGATTAGAAATTATTATATCGTTAGACTTTATATCTTATCATATATTATAGCAACTAAGATCTTACAGTTATAGATCTTTATTCAAGCCTCACAAATACTGCTTACATTTTAATAGATACCTCTCCGCATCTAATCGTGCTGATAGCCAGGCTGAAATATAATCTCCAAATTCGCCTGAAAATGCTCGGCTGCAATTGAGAGAGAAAGGAGCGGTGCTTTCGCTTCGACCAAGTGCCGGCGTCCTCAGCCATATCCGCAAGTGAGTCACCCAGGCATGATTCTGGATTAACGAGCAACACATCATTCACAAAAGCGCTCGAATTGCTATAACGAATAACTACTTTATATGCACGCATTTATCATACATTTTTAATAACTCGAACGGCGTATCATCTCGTTATTAAATGCAACGACGCGGCACTGTAGGCGACAAAATTTTACGTAGGGAGCTCGCCAAGATGTGGATTATTTATCGATTGTCATCGACCCGTTACGTCGGTACGTTTATTAATAAAATAACAAAAATATATATAAATATCGATCAGTCTTACCTATATAATGATCTTCACAACAGTAGTGGTTGATCGCCGATGTACCCGGTACCGTGGTGTTCCTTCGTTGATAACCACAAGTATACAATAAACGTCGTCATTACAAATATGCGTGGTGAACGCATACATATATTACGAATCGGATAACATATACATTCTCCTCGGACGAAATAAATTATATATAGCGCGCGTATGGTCACACAGAATAAAGCACGACGGTGCCCGCGTGAATACGTGAGTCGCGCGCACCGCCTGTCGTCAGAGAGCTAGCCGCAGGGAAAACCCTCTCCCTGCCTGCTAGCCTCGATCTAACTCCTCTCTTCCGTATCACCGTAAACACCAGTTTCTCTCTCCTCGCGTCGTATCAGCTGCTCGGATTCCCGTTGCGCGATGAGCGTCCGCCTTTAGATTTCGACGACGTCGTTTTCTTCGGCTGTGTTGACTTAGGCACGGTGGCGACTACCGCGTGCCCGCTAAGCGTCATAATCAATACGTGCGGCTAGGATGCGCATATTCTACATGATTTTCATCAGAAAAATGACGGATTTGGCTCTTCGATATATTCTTAACGTATAAAACCTTAAATTATATAATACTGTAATTTTTCACAGGACAGTACTACGCGATTGATCGATGTTATATTTTGCGCAGCTTACGTAAAAGAAAAATGAAATTCTTCGCACCTGCCACAAAATGTTTTCGCCCGGCATCGAACCGGGGACTTGCGCCGTGCGTGCGGAGCACGTGATAAACCACTACACTACGAAAACTCACGGTTTCAACTTTAAAGGCCTCAACTTGCTTCTTCATTTGCGTAGCGAGACTCGCTGGCAATGCAAGCTTTTTCGCACTAGTGATAATATATTCGATTTGTATTATAAAATTACGTATTCTATTCTCTAACCGTGTATGCCTATGCATCGCAAGCTAGAAATCACGTTATACTGCTTTATTGTGTATTTCGTCACACTTGGGCTGGTCAGTCCTATGCTGGAATTTTGATCTATTTATCGTATCTCATATATAATCAATATTAGATCAAGTGTAACCACAGGCCACAGAGCCGTATTATTAGAGATAACAGCTGCTGGTACCGGCCTGCGCTGGGTTAAAATCTGCTAACGAATTCATACTACTAATAATGGACACAATGAGGAATATTGGGTAAAATCGACAAATAACATTTGCACACAATATGAATATTGTAAAATCAGTGTAATAAAGGAATAATACAGCATGGAAAAACTGTTACGTATGACATTTTATATCAGGAGTGTATCTATCAGTGTTGTAAGTGACGTCCGACCCCCGATCCGAGTCGATCGTCGAGTCCGCACCCCGCCGAGTCCGAGGTCCGCGCAGTTGAGTCCGTCGCGCGCCACCGAGTCCCGAGTCCACACCACCGAGCCAGCCGCAGTCCCGAGTCCGAGCCAGTTTTGATAAAAAAAGGGGGGCACAGACCGACAAGGCCATCTTCACTTCTATATGTATTTTGTGTTTGTTCAAAACATAATGGGGGGGCGGGGTGTTTCCTGCTCCCCTGGATCTGCTCAGCTTGTTTGCTTAAAATAGAAAGTAACCATAAAACTTGCATAAGTCCGACACTTTTGGGACCAGCATATTTGTGTCGACTTAGGAAATAACGTCGTTGGAAAATAAATATAAAATAAAATAAAAATTGTGCATTATGCATTGTTTAACGCTAACAACATTCTATTGTAATGTTAGAATTGTAGATAGCGTGCAATCATTCCGACTTGGCTTATGTCGAGCATTGATTCTGCGGGAAAAAGCGCAAACGCGTCGCGATCGTAGGACAATTTGAAAAGTGTATAGTCAGCCGAAAACACAGAGACACGAGTCATCCGAAACGTGTCAAAGTAACGGATCCATTTGGTGTTTTACGAGAATTGGACACTGCTTTGTTGCAAAACGAAATGACGAGAGTGCTAAGTACTTAGTACCTACTACCGTAGTACTAACTAACATTCGAAGTGGTTAGAGGTCATATAAGTAAGTCTAGCCTACTAGTACTCGCCAGCATAGGTTCATTGAATCATTTTACATCACTTTCTGCCTGTATAAATTCGACTTGGGCTGCCAGCCGCCAGTAGACGAAATTGATCAACCTTTGGCGCGCCTGTGTACATTATTCATGCCCGTGTGTTGAATACGGAATGGAATGCGCGCCGTTGAACTCGGCCCACGCCGCGATTAAAGCACGACAAAACAGCATCTATAACTACTTACTAGTATGTAGTGGCCCTCAGACGTCTCGACCCGAGTCCTCGAGTCCGAGGGCCAAGATCCGAGTCCGAGTCGCGAGTCATTGCACTCCGAGCCGAGACCCGAGCACCGAGACAAGGGAAAACGGGCTCGCAGAGACCGGTCTCGAGACCAAAGACCGCTTCACAGACCTACACACACTGTGTATTATACACTCCTGATTAATAATGACAGCACAACCGATACTTAAGGAACCCGCTGGCAACATAATAGTTTATTATGGTGTAATGACAAAAAGTTATCTATAACGGCATGCTACGAAGTGGCGTTTGGACTTTCATTTGCAAACCTCTTTGATAAACAATGTTTCGTTGTTATTCTCTGTGTGAAATAATGTAAGCATCCCTGCGCGTCTCGAACTGCTTGAGCTCCCCACGTACGGCATGCACGTATGGCCACGTACGGGCACGCTTAACAGCATGTACGAATGGTTCGCGCTTCTCATTTAAAGCCTGTTGTGAAACAATGCGTCGTAACCTGCTGAACTGCGCAACGAAGGGTCGTTTGTCGTAACAGCTACTACAGATATATGTACCACGCAGGTAGTTTAGGTTGTTTAGTATCAAGGCCCGTTACCAGGGCGGGGTTGCGGGGTTCGAACGAACCCCCCCCCCCCGCGAGCCCGTCCCCCCCACTCCACAGCAAAAAAATAATAATTTTAAGAATTTTGCAAGAATTGTCCAACTCAGCTCGCTCCATTTTAGTGTAATAATTGCAAAATCTCATCGTGCGGGAGGTCCGACAGTGAACACCCCCCTCCCACACCCTCCCCCCGCTCAGGTCGCTTGCGTCCCCTCGCCTGGTCGCTTCGCGCCCGAGCAGGCGGCGTGTTACAGGGGGGGCATCCAGGGAGTCCCGGACCACCCCCTTGCTCGCGCAGAAAACGCATATGATGAGGGGCGTCTAATTTTACAAAAATTCCCACCAGACCCCCCTTCGGCGTTGCTCGCAACTTTGGGTTACGGTTTAGACCCCCCTGGTTACAAATCCTGTTACACGGCCCCTGCGAGCAAATTGCCAACATTGAAAAAAACGAACCGCCCCCCAATAAAAGCTGCTACGGCGCTGTAGTATTATCGTTTATATTTTTTATATGAGGTATGTTTTAGTGGTTAGGGTTATAGGTTTATAGGAGTTAGGTGTTAGGTTTTAGTGTTAGGGTTAGGGTACACTTCTAGCAGGCCGTTAGCCAGCTTTCTATTGGGGGGGTGGTTCGTTTTCAATGTTGGCCGATTTGCTTGCAGGGGCGTGTACAGGATTTGTACCAGGGGGTCTAACCGTATCCCATAGTTACGAGCACGCGAAGGGGGGTCTGGGTGCCCTCCCCCAGAAATTTTTAAAATTACACCCCCTCAGATGCGTTTTCTGCGCGAGCAAGGGGGGGTCCGGACTCCCTGGACCCCCTGTACACGCCCCTGCTCGGGCGCGAAGCGACCAGGCGAGGGAGCCAAGTGACCGAGCGGGGGGGGGTGTGGGAGGGGGTGTTCACTGTTCACATCCTCCCGCACGATGGAGATTTTGCAATTATTACACTAAAATGGAGCGACTAAGCGTGAAATTCTTGCAAATTTTCAAAAAAAAAAATTTTTGGCTTGGGGGAGGGGCTCGGGGGGGGGGTTCGTTCGAACCCCCGAACCCCCCTGGCTACGGGCCTGCTTCTGTAGTACAAGTCTGGTACACTTTGTGTATACATATATGTACCTCGGGTACACATCTGTAGTACCTGTTACGACAACGACCCCTTGAGCTGAACTGGCTGTGCTTCTGTTTTTAGCTCGGTGCTCGGTTTTCGGTTTCACAATACCAGCAGCTGATGGAATGAGTGATTCGATTTTTCTCTGTGTGCAGCACTGTACAGTCAGTGCTGACATTGTGTGAAGATTGACGAATTGAGGAGTTTTCACGGATTTTCGGTGAGTTTGACGGTTTGGCAGGTTTTTTTTCAGCTAGGAACACTCTCCGGGTATAAGAGATGGCCCTGTGAAAATTGCATCCAGATCGCTGGGCGGTTTGGCCGCCTATAGGGAAGATACATACATACATACATACATAACATACATACATACATACATACATACATACATACATACATACATACATACATACATACATACATACACACATACACACATACACACATACACACATACGCATCACATACACACATACACACATACACACATACACACATACACACATACACACATAGACACATACACACACACACACACACACACCACACAACACACACACACACACACACACCACACGTATATGCCACGCATACGCGACACAAACACGCGTATATGCACGCACCATATACTGAAACACACACCACACACACACACACACACACACACACACACACACACCCACACACACACACACACACACACACACACACCCACACACACACAACACACACATACATACACACACAAACGCCACACACACAATCACACACGGGCAGCAAAAACCACAACACACACCCAAGGCGGTGGGAAAAGTGAGGGGGGAAGGCCGGCAGCAGCACACCACACACACACACACACACACATACATACATACGAACTCAAATATATATTAGATACGGCTCTGCCCAATCAGCGACGCGAGCGCCATTCCTATGTACATTAGCATTGGGGAGGATTGCGGCGGGATGCTGCGGCCAGAGTGAAATTTTTAGGGCGAATTTTACTATTAGTATTATGCGCAATTTTTCTATATGCGCATCTCTCCAGGGCATACCTCTGCCCATTCTGAGTGCGTAAGTTTGGCCGAAATAAATTATCTTGGTGTCAGAAATAACCAACGAAGGAGAAAAGAAGCGCCTGTGGCCCTGTACGTATGTGGACTGGTAGAGGAAACTATAGGGGTTGATGGTGGTAATGGTCCTGGGGTAATCATATATAGCTAGGGGACTAGCTCGCTCCTGCTACTGCCTCCTGCATGTATAATATAGCTTCCCGCACAACAACAAAATCACTTGCTTAGAATAAATAAACAATCGGAGAAATTAGAATTAACCTTTATTAGAAATATTTATCTCGGGAGTGAGGTAGGAAAATTAATCTTCATACAACGTGTATAGCGGGAGCAATCAAAGCGCAACACTGGTAGAACTACGTTGGAATTGCTGCTACTGCTAGCATTAGTTATACTAGAATACTGAATATTAGTTATAGAATACACTTGTATTTCTAACTGCAGACTAGGCCCTATAACGCTCCATTAGGTGTGTTCCCAACTTTGATATCATTAATGATTAATGATTAATGATTGATAATCCTAACCCTAACCATAACCCTAACCTAACCTATAACATATAACCCTAACCATTAATCCTCCTAATCACTTCTAATGGAGAATCATCCCAGACTAGTGTAGAGTACGTTAGTGTGTAGAGTACGTGTAGTGTGTTACGTTTTAGTGTCTTTCCGCCACACGGGCTGCATGTGCGGCGTATCGGTAGGATTCAGAGAGTGGGTGTGTGATCAATATTTAATTCCTCCCTACACTGCTACCACAGTAACAATAACACCTACACATCTAATTATAAAAAGTACCGTTAAGTATTCATCCAACAAGGAATTTCTCTGTAAAAATTTTTCTTCTCTATTCTTTGCATACACTTTAATTACGTGAGTGTTCCATGGCTCAGAAACGTCAGACGAAAATGTCACCATCGTTTATGGTACACATATGCTGTGAACTCTTGTGTGTGCATGAACGAACTTAATTGTGCTGCGCTGTGCTGTGTGCATTCGTGCGTGCATGCGTTCGTGCATGCGTGCACAAGTTCAACAGCGTTGTAGAGAACTGAGCATGTGTTTTGCTCAGCGAGGTTTCGCAAACATTTGCTACTACGCCTAGGATTGTTGCGGGAAAGTAGTCACACCTTACTAGATGTGCAGTTTTCATTAGTATAAGCAGATGAATGAATGCTATTATGCAAAACAAATATCGATAAAAAAAGAAATTCATAGTTGTAGTCTGACATTTATTCTGGAACGGTGCTTGTTTATAATAGGTAGTATATTACAGCCAGTGGTGTACGTAGGATTTTCGAAAGGGGGGTGTTAGGAGCACGCGAAGGGGGGGTCTGGGGAATTTTTTGAAATGAGCACTCCTCAGATGCGTTTTCTGCGCGAGCATGGGGGGTCCGGACCCCCTGGACCCCCTCCCCCCTGTACACGCCCCTGGAAACTGTAGACTCTGATACCGTGTGCGCTTGCACTGACGGGGCACATAACACAGCATAATTTACCATTTTCAGTGAGTACCGTTACGTTTTAAGAGCTATTATGGCCCTGTCACACATTGACGATTTAGACAGCGTATGCCGGACGTATCAAAATTTCTCTAAAACGCTGGCATACGCTGAACTATCGATGTTTTTTTCGAATTTTGGGCGTATACATAGCGTATTCATAACGAGTTGGACGTATACTTAACGTATTAGTAACGTATATAGAACGTTTCGATAACTTATAAGATAACGTATACCAACGAATGCTTAGCGTGTTGCCGGCGTTCACAA